GAAGGAAGGAAGGAAGGAAGGAAAATGACGGATAAAAGGAAGGAAGGAAACTCCAAAGCCTAGGTATTTGGGAGAAGGCAAGCTTGCCCCTCAGAAACATACTGTGTTGGTGCCAATGAGGTCCGCCGTCATGGAGAGGGACGTCACCAGGATCGTGGCCGAGCCGGCCCCAAGGAGAACCGCCGCCCCATAAATCTCCACCCCGATCCGGTCAGCCAAGGCCACCCAGGCGGAAAAGACCAAGACGATCAGCAAGCCAAGGAAATAGGTGAGCTGTTCAGAGAAAGCCGGAGACAGGGATGCTGAGAAGTGGCTTCAGCCGGGACTAAGCCCCGGGGCAGGATAGCGCCCTTACCCAGAGTTTCGCCTGATTAAAGGATTCATACAGAAACTGAGTTTTCTGACTAATTCCTGAGAGATAAATTTTACAAAGCATCCTTGCGTATTGACATTATTGTTAATTAAAATAGCCGTTGTCTGCAGTCTATGTAGATAAGAAATGTTTAATAATAATAATAATAATGACAACAACAACAACAATCACCAGATCTACAAAAAATGGCAATATTAGGAACAGCATGCATCCTGCAACTGAGTTTTCTGACTAATTCCTGAGAGATAAATTTTACAAAGCATCCTTGCGTATTGACATTATTGTTAATTAAAATAGCCGTTGTCTGCAGTCTATGTAGATAAGAAATGTTTAATAATAATAATAATAATGACAACAACAACAACAATCACCAGATCTACAAAAAATGGCAATATTAGGAACAGCATGCATCCTGCGTTGATATTGGCAATATTAGGAACAGCACACATCCTGCGTTGATATTTCACAGATACTTCGGTTTTTGGTTAAAACTTATTATCTGTTCTATAACACCAGTCAATACTTTTATACTTTTGACTGATGGTGCCTGGGGTTTTTGAATAATAGTAATACTGATATTTAATTTGTTTTTGGTTAAAAAGTATGTCTGTTATACCATACTGCTCAAAGGTTGTGTCTTGTTATTTTTGAATAATGAAGCAAACCAGGAAAGGAACCAGGTAGATTTCATGGGGCAGAGAGTTCCTCTGGCCACGATGACGTCGCTATTTCTGCTAATGAAATCTTTCCAGTGAGAGCCAAGAGTGAGTGAAGGAAACCCCTGGGAGCCAAAAAATGGTCATGACGGCTGAGTCCTACACTGCAGGGGGAGTCCGACTCACTCACGTTTCTGCCGACAATCCGGTTGACGCTTTTCATCAAGAAGGAGGAGAGGAAGCCGCTGACGTAGACCACCAGGGGAATGGAGGCGATGTATTTCTGGGGTGGAAAAGGAGAGGGGGGGGAAGCCAGAATTCCCCATCAGGTACTTTTCGAGAACACAGTGCAAGACAAATTCTCTGGCAGTTCAAAATTACGCACCAATTAAAAAATAAAAAATTGCACCCCTACAGTTTTTGGGGCACCTCTTTTGAAACATGTTCAGATCTCCGGATCTTGTCTGAAGACCCGAACCCCATCTTTAGAACTCCTTTGAGCAAACTTTAAAGGAGGGGTTAAAAGGCAGAAAACCACAGCTAGCTAGCTAGCTAGATAATAAACAGAAGAGCTGGTGGTTTCAACAGCTAAGTAGCCGAAGACTACAGTGTGGTTCCCCCCCCACATCTCCGTCAAATAAAATGAGACCCACCTTTGGTAGAAACAAGGAGTTGGTTAGGTAATTTGCTATGTAGGTCTGGGAGAGATTTACGATGAGACGAGTGGACATGTACAGCATCGCCACCTTTTTAAAAAAAGGTAGGGAGAGAGAGAGAGAGAGAGAGAGAGAGACACCTACGGTTATATGACCAAGTGCTGTGTTATTTGTGCCACATGGGGTTTGTAGTCGAGGTAAAAAAAGGGAGAGAGAGAGAGAGAGAGACCCACGGTTATATGACCAAGTGCTTGGCTGGCCGTGTTTTTGTGCCACATGGGGTTTGTAGTCAAGGACACCCCCCCAGCGGGAACCAGGCCAAGGGGAACTCCCCAAAGGGTCTCTCCAAAAAACAGAAGGGGACCTACGGCCCAGCCCATTTCGTCTTCCACCCCCGGGGTCTGGCGGAACTCCCCACCACCAGAGGAAGGAAAGGATGATCTTGACAGGGCCCCTAGGTTGGTTGGCGGCAGGAAGTGGGAACGGGAGTGGGAGGAGAAGGGGTCGGGCTGAAAAAGGATCATGCCATGCCCAGGCCACTTTTTTCTGGACCGTTCTGCAGCCTCTCTGATTTTTTCATCCCCCAAACAAAAGCAAAAAGTGTCTCCTGGAAACAGCTTCTCTTTTAAGACCAGGAGCAGCAGCTGCTGACGCCCCGGCCAAAATGAAAAAGGATATTTGATTAAAAATAAATGTATCTATCTTCACACTCCTCTTGCTAGTTTTGGGGGTCCCCCCCCTCCAGCCTGTGGCAGGTCTCGGAGAAACTGGACGGTGGATGCAGCAGAAAGGCGGAAAGAGATCAGAACTCCCTGTTGCCTGCCTTCGCCTCCGCTCACCTGGTAAAAAGCGGGTTCCAAAAGCCAGTGTTTCCAAAGGAGGAGAGGCTGGATGCGGCCCCTAGTATCCCCTGGAGGAGGCAACAGCGGGGTGCGTTCCTCGGAGTCCGGGATCCCGGCCGACGGCTGGGATTTCTCCTCGGTGCCGAGATGGAAGACGAGCGAAAAGACGGCCCCCACCCCCACCACGATCAAGGAAAGGTTCTGGGGTGGAAAGAGGAAATTACAGCTCTGGGGAAGACTCCCCAAGACTACGACTCCCATGAGGTGTAGCCCCCTCAGCTAGGGGATTCTGGGCTCCCCGGCCTACGATCCGCCAGGGCACCTTTTCGTCCGCTGCAGTTCTGCCCAGTCATGGGCAATCTCCGAAAGGCCCCCGTCTTTAAGAGCAACCGCTCAGGTCTTGCAAAGTCCCCGTTGTGGCTTCCTCAAGAGAGTCCACCCCTCTCACATTCAGCCTGCCCTCATCTCCTACTGGCCCCCATTTCCCCCAGCGCCGTCTCTCCCAGCAATTCCTGACTTCTCGTGAGGCTCCTCCAAAGGATGGCCACAGCGCCGTAGCTTCTGCTGCGAGTTCGGGATTTGCCCACCTAAAACACCCACCCGGGACCTCCCGGCTCACCCGAAAGACAGGGATGTCGTGGTGCCCGAGGTGCTCGGCGTGGTCCTGCCGGCCCGCGTGGCCCGCCTCCAAGTGCAGGAGAAGCCAGGCCACTCCGTACACTGTGATGTTGGCCACGACGGTGAACGCATACCTAGAAACGGGGAGAGGAAGCTTTTCTTAAGGAACGTAAGAAGGCGAGAACGCCCCTCCTGGATGGATCGGATCCAAGGTCCTGAGCCTCCCCGTGAACCCCCCCCCCCCCGAAACTAGACAAAAAGGTAGTGGCTCTTCCTGGTCTTGGATCCTCAACAATTTGTAATGTAAGATAGACTGCTCCTACGCATGGAGGATCCATCCTGCTCTTGGAAAAGGCCTCCGTAAGAGCAACCCTCCAGGGTCACCCCGTCTAATCCCCCTTTCTGATCCCACAGAGGCAAACCCCTTGCCACAGGGAAGCTCGCCATCCGGCCACGGGTACAAATGCACCCCCCCCTCATCTCCCATTCCTCCAGCAACTAATAGACAGCAGCATTATGCTTCTGTTGTTAGGGGTGGTAATCTCTGTGATCTCCTTCAGGGGGGGCATCTTGTGGCAGGGAGTTCCACCGCCCACCCCTGTTGTGTCTGAAGATGCCCAGCTTCTTCTTCTTTTTTAAAAAAGCCATTTTGAATCTCTTTGTGGTTCCAAAATTCTCTAAACCTCTAACCACGGGCCACGCTCGCTAAATCAACGAGGGATTTGAAACCCGACAAGATAATGTTCCAAACCACAAAGACACAACCGCTCACGGATGAACAGAAAGGGGCCTGTTCTTCTGGCAGATTTGAAAGCCACAACCTTCCGAGTGGCAAAACCCAAAGAGAGAGAGAAAAAAATTAAAAATCAGATTTTCTCCTAATTTCAGGGTTCATAACTTTGGCAAAAAAAAAAGAGTGAAAAAAAAAAACTAATGTAAACGTTTAATCAGCATATTTCCTGGAAGGGAAGCTGTGAATGTTGCCACAAAACTGGCCAGGTTAAGTTCAAATAACACAGTACTGCCCTCTAGTGGAATACTGAAATATTTTTCTTCACGGGATTTTCTTCTCTGGGTGGCTCAAGGTCCCTTCTGGGCAGGGATAAAGGCCTGAACATGATCACGGCTGAATTTTGTGGAAATGTCTCCCCCCCAAAAAAAGAAAGAAAAGAAAAAAGAAAAAGACAAAGGAAAAAACCCTTTGAAAAGAAAAATATCCCAAAGAAAGTAAATTCCTAGTCCTCATGAAAACAAAGTTAAAGACTAAAGAAAAGTGGCTAGAATGGTCTCAGGAGTCAAACGGGATTAGGAGAACTGTTTCCAGTAAAAAAACCCAGTAAAATAAAATAACTTTCCCTTTCTTACCTTTTTCTATTGTCTGTCCCATTTGCCCAAAATATTCCCCTTATTTAAAACTGCTTTTAATTACATTGTTATATTATTGTTGTAAGCCGCCTAGAGTGGTCTTAATCGACTAGATAGGCGGGATATTAAATAAATAAATAAATAAATAAATAAATAAATAAATAAATAACAGAAAACACAAATTCAGGCCTGCCTATTGATTGATTGATTGATTGATTGATTGATTGATTGATTGATTGATTTGTCTGCATGTCTGTCTGTTTGTCTCATTTATAGGCCGCCTTTCTCCCAACCAGGGGACTCAAGGCAGCTATTAAAAACACAATTAATTCTACATTTAAAAACAAACAAACTATACTAGTCATTAAAATACACTGAATGATTAAAAACGTTCCCAAAATGTTCCTGGAAATGGGTTTCCCAGCCCTTCTGGCCCTGGATCGCTTGGCCATGAGGGGAGGATGATGGGACTTGCCATCCCCGACGAACGTACCTGAAAGCCGTCAGCTCCACTTTCTCGTGGTCGCTGGAGACCAGCTCGGGGATGAGGGAGAGGTGGGAGATCTGGGTGGCCGCCCACCCGAACTGGAAGATGATGATGAACGGAATGAAGTAGACCAGGGCAGCCCACTCGGGGGTCTTCTCCGAACAGGCGAAGCAGGGGTTAAAAATGAA